ACAGTTCAATAGTCCAGCTCATTCTTTGCGATAATTTACTAATAGCCTTTAAACGGTAGGAAAACACTTTCTTGTATACTCTGTTTACACCAGCTGGTGTTTAATCAGCGAATATAATTTGTTCGATAGGTATTAGCTGGCTCCTACTTTTCACCTTCTATCCTGCACGGCTGTACTTAGTTTTCTGCATGACTGTACTCAAAATGAACAAACTTTCCTTTTATAGTATCTCTGTAGCTGCTTTATGTATGCATCATTTTTGTTTTATTCATATTGCTGGAATTAAATTTTTTTTCGTCCTGAGTCAGTCGTTTAATATGTAATTGTTACAAATAGATAGTAAGCTCTGGCAACAGTCTGCAGTCCTGAAGCAAACCAAACCAACTGGTAAAGACAGGATCAGCAGGCCGATTGGAGAGCAAGGATGACTTATTGAGATCTTAATATTTTTAGGGGTAGGAGCCCAAATGATGATGATGAATGGCCTCTATTTCTCCTGTCTTTGAGTCGCCTATCTGCTTTTCCTTGTTTATATATATTTTTGTCACCATTTCATGCTGCTCTTCTTTGGCATTCCATAATTTGGTTTCTCCACGGCAAGCTTTGCTTTTGTTTTTCAGTAAATTAGCACCAAATCTGCTTCAAAACACACAGATATACACTGAAAGGGGCATAGTTTTACAGCCACAGATGGTCTATCAGAGGGGAGTGCATGGGTATTTTCAAGCCATGATGAGAAAGCTTGTGTATGTGTGTGTTTGGTTGTAGAGTTCTATGAATAGCGACAGTGAGGAAAAGGCTGTCAGAGCAGTAATTCAGTGCTCTGGCTGCACCCATCAGCACAAACACAGGGTGAGAAGAATGGAGCCTTGTTGGAGAGGTTTTCTATTACAGAATGTGCTGCTAGGAGCCCTGCAAGGCATCACACACAATGTGGATGGAGTTCATGTTTATTTGGAGGATACTTTCGCTTCACTGTCAACTGGTCTGAGTGAGCTGGAGACGAGAAAAGCAGCCGAGTGACGTGCTCTGTGTGAGTTTCGGCTCCTTTAGGAAAGTGGTTGGGAAGATGTGCCAGAGCATCCTGCACCGCTGGCCACCTGCTTAGTGCTGGCGAGGAATCTCCTGATTGCGCTGCCATTCTTTCCCTGCAAAAAGAGCTAATGCTCATGGAGTGTCTGGCAATCACAGATGGTGGAGGCAGTGAAAGGCTGCTGGAACTTATTTAGTTTTAGCAGCTGCTTTCACAGAAACAAGATTCTGCATGCCTGTATGTGGCAAAGGGTGAGAAAAAGTGAAACAGTCTTATTTTTCCAAACATGCACTTTGATATTTATTTTTTTGGCTTTGAAAAGAATACTGTAAAATACAGTAGATGAAAGAAAGAGTGATCCAATCTGGATATGATTAGTTGTTAAAAAAATAAATGGGATGCCTAACAGATTGTATGTCTGCTCCACATTAGAAAACTCTGAATTATAAGTGCAGTAAAAGTGATTTCAGGCAGTTGTAGGAGGCCTCATAGATGGTATCACTAGCACTTCATATAGGTTGGGTCCTGTTGCCATTTTTGGGGAGTGGTGGCCTATTGGTTAGGGCATGGAGCATGGAATTCTGAGGTTCTGACTTCGAGCCCCACTCCCACAGACTGCCACTCTGGATCTCTGAGCAAAACCCTTAGCCGCTGATTGCTCCGGGGGCGCTGCACAATGGAAGCCCATTGCTCCCTAAGAGGATGGGTTAAAAGTAAATTTCTCCAAAGTGAGATTAATAAAGTTAAATTAATTTAGCATTTCTCATTGAATGGGCGTTACTAAATCCTATTGTGTCAAACTGCTCTGACACAAACATGCACATGTTAGCAGAAACAAATACTCTAAATGTCCTAGTTGATCCAAACAGACGGCATATAGGAAGGAATGTTGGTGCTGCACACGGCTGAAGTGGTAAGGAGTGAGATGAAGTAAAAGGAGAAGCTCCCTATTTACTGATCGGTCTACATTTCTACCCTCACCTGATGGAGATAAACGATTGAAATTAGCTTTGCTGTCGGGTGGCTTGGCACTCACCTAGAGGAAGGAAGGGTATGGAGCTGGTAAGTTGTCCTTGACATCTGATTCAGTATCAGCTAAAGGTGGCTTGGATGTTTGGATGCTTCCCTGTGGAGATGTTCCAGGCAGGTCCAAATCGAAAGGAGGTCAGGGTTCAGTCCAGGACCCCTTGGAGGGACTACATCCTTCGGCTGGCGTGCGAATGCCCCATGTTCTCTGTAAGAGGTGTCTGGGTGAAAGGACGCCTTCAAACAAAAGAAGATCAGTATGTCTACAAATGTAGGGAGGATTGTTAGTTTATCACCAATTTTACTAGAATGAATTCCCAATTTGCATGGGTGATTGTCCTCTTACTGTGATTCAGATGTAGTGATGAGTCTGTTTCACCCTGCTCTGTCAGTAGAGAGCACTTTGATGCACATGTGAAACAGGTGGGGGTGAGCCCTGTTAAAGATATCCATTAGCTTTGTGAAGAGACATGCTCAGCTTCTCGGCTGAGCTGTGATGTAAAGGGTTCAGAAGAAGGTCTCCTGCTGCCTGTTCTCAATGTCTCTCTGCTCCTCTAAACAAGACCACGTTTCATGCTAATGTGCTGCTGCTATAAATAGGGAGCTCCATCTCGCCTCTGTGAACACCTGCCTCACCTTTACAGGCATTGCATGACGCAGGGCATACCATATGCGTGCTTAGATAGGTTTCTGCATCTTCTGGCATCAACGCCCTTCCATCCACTCCATCTTCTTGCCCCTCTTTGCTCATCCTTGTCCTTTCCTATGTTTGTCTCTTACTACCCTCCATCCATCATTCTTTCTTACTTATTATCTTTTCTCACCACACTTCCTTCCATCTCGCTAATCTCTATTTTCCCTCCCCTTTACGTTTTGAACCACCTCTTATCTCCTCCGTCCCTCCTCCTGTCATTGGATGGGCAGACGGAGGGGAGCAACGCTGCCTGCTAACCAGAGGAGGACATCACAGTCTTGGATGTTTGGAAGCTGATTTCAGTACATTTATTCACCAGGGAGTGTGTTGCAGGAGAAGCTGTTTATCAACCTGTCTCTCCTGGTGTTATTCATGAAGCCCGGCTGCCTCCTCCCGCCTCCTCAATTCCTCGTCCCATAACAGAGACTTTCTCAAACACACCTGGGCCATTTTCGCCTCTGGACATTAGGCTTAATGTGTCTCTATGTTTTTTTTTTGTTTTTTTTTTATAAATGGGAATAGGTTTGAGTGTAACTGCATGTGCCTGATCCAGTTCACGTCTGCCTCTCTTTGCAACAGCCTAATTAATATAATCCATCTCACTTAGCAGTGACAATGCTTCTCCTTCTTTCTTTCTGCTGCATTTTATTCATCTTTCTTTACCCTTTTTTATTAGCATTTTCTCTCCTATGACTAGAACTGAGTTTTTACAGTCAAAAATAGTTATTGCCTGAGCTCACCTGGGGATTAGTACTGAAACAGAAAAGATGTATTTAATTATTTGATATTCAGGACACTTCGTCTGAGTAGGCTGAGATAAGGAAAACATTCAGATCTCTATGGGTATGGAAAGCTGAGTGGACAAAAACAGTTGAACCTCCCTAAATGTTAAAAATAAGAAATAAGTCAGTTTTTTAAATAGGTGTATTTAAAGTAGTCCTAAGGTGCAAAGAAATTTAATTAAAAATCCATAGGTTAATTAGAAACCGAAATGTCAAGTTAGAAAATTAGGTAGTTGTTGTTTCCTGAGGATTCAAAAGTACAAACAGCAGGGTGACGCTAATCAAATGAATGAAATTCACAAATGAAAAAAACCTTTCCCCTCTATTATTGCTTTTTTTCCATGTCTTGGCTAAGGTGTACTCAAAATGCTATGTTTGAAAAGCATTCCCCTTATGATGTCATAAGGGGAAATAAGCTGTCCAGAGCGAACTGTAGCAGCCCATCTGTCAAGCTACGACATTCATCTAAAATATTATTTCACACTCCTAAGCTCTCTTTACAAACTCTGACTGGTTGTCATGGTTGGTGGTTGTGGGGACACAGCCTTTGGGAGTACATGGAGTGGGAAACCAAAACAGCTCATCCAGAGGAGAGCTAAATAGGGAGATTTTTGATACTTGCTGTCTTCCTAAATTGCACAGATGACCAGAAATATACTCTGGGGGCCTCATTGTTAATATTTTATTTTTATCCAATGTAGAATGATATGGGACTTGACCCATAATATGGGTCCAGAGCCCAACCTTATTGCTGTAGCAATATATTGATAGAGCAGTCTAATACCTACTTCATGAACTGATGAATCCATTATGGGACATTTGTTTTTTAATAATATGAAAGACTGATGAAGTCAGGCAGAAACTGATTGTTAAAACCAATCTTCCCTCTAAATTGCACAATTGTGCACTACTTGTGCATTCTTCAGTGCACAAGAAAATCTATGCAGCCCATAAAATAAATCCGACATGAACTGTAAATCAGTTAGACCAATCAATTTTTACTGTTTCATTTTAAATCCATGTATCATTCCTTTTACTACTTAAAACCAATAATGAAAATATGAGAAATAACTGTTGTCTCCTCAAATTTCTTTGCATAAATTAAATATAATGATAAAAAAATGAACAAGGAATACATTCATCTTTATTTTTTTCAGTTTGGGTTCTTCTAGCGTCTCAGCCTGTTAGAAGCTGGATGTGGAACCACACTTTACTGAATAAAGCAAATCCAGCTGTTCTTGTGAATAATCTAGCTACTCTTCAATACCAGTTTCATATAACTCAGAATGAACGCAAGTTAAAACAAATAAAAAAGCAGGAGGAAATTTTGTAATGTCTTATTTCCTCAAGATCAGGACCCTCACTCTGGCCGAAGCTGGACTCATTCATGAGAATTAAAGCAGAACATGCTTTATTTTAAACCTGAACTGTTGTAGATTTTGTCTTGTATCTTTCTTTTTTCCAGTCTGGTTGCAGTGCAGAACCTTCCCAGGCAGAGCCCACCTCTTCCTCCTCCTCCACCACTGCTGCCCCTAAGGTGGAGGAGAAGAAGCTTTTATCTAAGGACTCCATCCTGTCTCTGTATGGCAGCAGCTCAGTGGGCAATCAGCCACAGAGCCAACAACGGCCTGCTACAGGACCAGGTATCAGCCGCTTTCATGCAGCCACCATCTTTTTTTGATAAGTCATTGTTACCCAGTTTTCAGGCAGCTGACTTTTATTGTTTCTCTCTACACCTCAAAGCTCAGGCTGAACCATTTAATGCATGTGAGTTTTACAGGATTTATATCAATTTTCTCTGAACTCTGGCTGCATTTATAGGGACTCAGTATATGGTCTGTAAAGCTGCAGGTTTCTACTGCAAACAACTAAAGTATATGGAAGTTGTTGGAATAAGAGTTTATATTTTTCTGAAGCCTCAGAATACAGAACAATACTGCAGAGAACAGCAGATTCCACCTGAAACCACATTATTTTACCTCATTTCATTTCACCCACGTTACACTATATGTGAAAAACTACAGATGATTAATTAAAAAGTTTATTTTATACGATATACATTAAAATCCACTTTTATGTCCAAATTTAAATATGCAATTTATTCATTTTTGATTTAGATGCTACTTGGTTTGGTTTACGTTTAACAGATACTCATACAACACCCTCAAGGCTTTGGAAAACAATCAAACTTATCAGAAATAACTTTAAATGAATTCCTTGTCTTTCGTAGCCGTGCACTTATTCAATCAAAGGAGAGCCACATTAAGAGGGAATTTTCCTTTGCAAATAAATTGTTGTCACATTTATTGGTGGCCCTGATACTTATTGAAATAAAATGTAACTAAAGCACTTTTTTTTGTCTTTTTTTTGTCTTTTAAAAGGTGACATTATATAATATAAGGTCCGTTTAAAACAGTAAAGACAATTAAGCATGCTGCTGTCTTATTCACACGTGTGAATTAATCTCCTTGAACCAAAAAAGAGTTACTGATCTAAACCATCGCAAATGTTCAATCAATAAACACAGGTTTATAACTATTGGTAATAAATGGTGAACAGGAATGAGTGAGGTACCATGGTTCTCATGCTGCCACACACAGTGAGTGAGGACGGTAAGGGAGTTAAGGCTCCATAATGGGGCTTTCACTCCAAATGCAAATGACTCCCTCAGCGGGAGGGATTTACATGTTATCTCTATGTAAAGGTGCATTCAGGACCTAAGCTATTCGTAGGACACCACGAATAGAGCAAATCCTGTGGTGGGTGCACTGATAATTTCACTGTAGTTATAAAAATTGAACTTTTCTCTCAATTCGCTTTGCGCCAACCAGGCAGTAGATGTTGTTGTGAGGTAGAGTGAAAGAGCCCATTGGAGAAAAAGTTTTTTTTTTTTTTTTAATCACAATGAAGAATAGGAAAAATAATGTTTTCAAAGAATGAAGTAAGGAATTCTAACTAGAAGTTTGTTGGTGGCTTTTCAAAAAGCCGGTATAATTTCCCTTTAAGCTCTAGAGCCTGTCCCGGGGATTCTATGGTGCACTCTCTACCCTGGAAGAGATGGAAGCTCTTTTTCTTTGGTGATGCTGTGAAGTGTTATTCCTGTTTGGACATGCAAACTGTTTGCAATATTTCAAGTAAGCAACAGCACATGAATGAGCAAAGAATTTCACTGGAATCGTGTTTGGTGTTACCACACCATGGCAACCATAGGTGCAATCTAAATACCAACTATTTGTTGTGGAAGAATATTAGTTAAGCTTATGATGTTTGCTAAATACTAAAAACTTAAAAAGTTTGCTCTGGTCAGATGAAACTAAGATTGAACTTTTCTGCAAAAAAATCTTAAATTGAATGAAGTATAAAACAAAGAAAGTTTAGACAAGCACCTCATTCCCACTGATACAGTAAGCTAGATAAATGGTTTGTGATGCTGTGGGACCATCTGTCTTTTTTAATTCAGTGAGAAATGAACTAAAATGTGTGGCATCATGATGTCTTAGAGATCTGTGGGATTTCTGAAATAAAAATCTCAAGTCCTGTGGCATAACTTGAGAAAGAGATTGCAATTGGTTCTTTCAGCAGAAAATTATCTGAACTACATGGCCTCAAAGATGGTTCCCCAGACACTAAATAAACCCTCTAAACAACAAATGCTATATGAGTTACAACAGCATTTACATGTTCTTTTCCTTTGGGATCAATAAAATATTTCAGAAATGAGTTCCCTGGTCTTCTCTGTTCCAAGACTCACTGCCATTCCTGAATTAGTTCTTAAATAGAAATGTCTGGTTAAGTTTATCAACCTCAGTTTATGCTGTACCTACAAAATATGACTTTGTTTACCTTGTCTTAAAGAAAATGTTTTTTTTTGTACTGGAGATTAGCTCCATGCCATCCTTAAACTGTAACTGGAAATTCATACTGTCCCTACTGGTTCCAGTGCTGCAGTTGCACTAAAGCTAACCAACAGTTCTTTCTGTCCCTGGAGAAAAATAAAACTGTTTCTATCTCAGTTTTCTGAGAGGAACAACATTCATAGACAGCGGACTTTTAAAGGCACTTCACTTAATGGGTCTATTATTTTTCACACTATGAAATATACTTCCAAGAATAGATTGCGGCTAAATTCATTGATTTCTTTTTTTCAGTTCTCATTATATTTGAACGGCTGTGTTACCTTTTCATGTACATCGACTGTAGCCTCCCTTTAGAAAAAGACACTTGGTTTGGTTTGATCGATTATTACAAGGGCCGTAAAAGATCAGATGTCTTTGAAAATAATTTTCCAGCCTCAATTAGCTTTGACTCTTTCCAGCTTTTTTAGACTGTAGTAAGATTGCAGTTGATACAGTGGAGAGAACAAGTATTTGATCACTACCATGATGACCTGAAGCAAACCATCAGGGCAACATATGAAGCATCTCATGGTCCCTGAGTTGCCTTCAGGCCTGAATAGAAAATCTGGAGGAGCTGAAGGTGCAGAGTAACATCCCTTAAACCTAAAAGCTCTGGAGAAGACCTCCAGGAGGAGTGGTCATAAATCTCTGCTGCAACATGGGCAAGGATTGTCAAGAACTACAAGAAACGGCAAAGGTTTCTGTAGCATTTATCAAATTTTGCCTTTTTTTAATGTAATAAAATTTAAAATCAAATAAATGCCTCATTTCCTTTATATATGCCTTAAATTCCGTCACATTTGAAAAGTATTTGTAAAAAAAAACTTCTACATGCTTTGCAAGTAGGAAAACCTTCAAATTCAGCAGTTTCTAAATACTTTGTTCTCCCCGCTTTATGCACCAGGATGCATGGCAGCCATATATCTGTTTATTTTGTTTAAAAGAGGAGGTGCATATCAAAACACTGCTACACACATACCTCACAGGAGTGGCGCATGTTGAAAATGAGGGCGGATGGTGTCAGATGGAGGGTCAGGGCGCAGAATTGCTGCCAGCTCTGCTCCCTGCTGCATTCAGCAGATTCCCAGCGCAGCGGTAAACAGCACGGTGTGTCTGCAGATTCATCTCGCACTTATTAGATGTGAAGACTTGAAGTGTCAGCAGCCGTTTCTGTGTGCATGTGGGCGGCTCTCCATACGGTGCAGACATTACATTGTTGCTGTGTTTTGTGTGCGATGGAGGATTGGAGTCAGCAGATTTACTGTTTAAATGAAGAACATGTGAGGTATTATTGATTATAGTCCTGTTTGCTTGCACTGATCGATAGATGATTAGGGATGGAAATGCAGATAAAGGGCTTTTATCATGAATTACACGCATGAAAGTCAAAGTCAGGGCATCATTTTTTAACCTGAACTAGTTCTAAAATGATCTGAATCTAAACTCAGTATATAAAAAACTGTTGTTTATTGAGCAAAAAGAACAAAACTATCCACATGTATGGGTTAGGTTTGAGGGGTTGTGCTGATGAACCCATATACAGAGGGCTGTTAATCCCAGATTATCACCCCTCCACCACCGTGCATGTCTGCTTTGCTTTCTCCTGTACCGGTTACATTGTCAACATGCTGTCATATCATATTTAGTGGGATGTGGTTTTCTGCTGCAGACTGAGGGGTTAGAAATCATTTCCCAATGAGATCACTGAATTAAGATTTCTACTTTTAGTAGTGGGTTTAGACACCTCCATGCTCTACAGCAGTAAACTTTCAAATCTGCTGCTCTAATAGAGGCATTCACACTAATGTTTTGGTTGATGTTGTTTATTCCTGCAGGGGCATACATGAGCCAGCCTCAGATGCAGTTCAATCCACAGAACTTCTCCCCAGCTGTGGCTGGAGGCATCTCACCCACAACCATGATGGGTGGAGGGCCGGTGATGTCTGGCATGACTCTATCCAATGGCAGCTACATGGTGAATATGTGCAGTACGCAGCCAGGCCAGCAGCAGCAGCAGGGCCAATGGAACATGAGCCAGGTAAGAGTCAAGACACTGATCCAGTCTCTAAGGAAACACACCTTTGCTTTTTTTTAGTAGTTAAAATCTCATAAATCCAGTGTCACAGTTTGGCCATGCTTGTCCTAGCAGGTGATGTATGGACCTGTTTAATGTCATCCTCTCTATTCTCTAGAGCTCAGTGTGGGGTGAACCTTTCCCCCTCAGCCTCTGCACAGCAGCAGCTTTAATCTGCTGTTTTAACCTTTACAGTTGAGGCCTTTGTTTATTTGTCCATGCTGAATTGTAGACTCTAACTTTTGTCCATTTGCTTTATATAACACACTGGTTGCTAGACTAAACCTTTACCAGAAGAAATAGTCTGATACTTATATCCGATTTAAATTGACCAAAATATGTGGGATTTTTATGCTACTGTTTCTACTTTCAGAATGGAAGAAAACCAATATCTTTGATTGATATAAAATGACTGGCCATATGTAATATACTGCTTATTTGAGCTCTCTTTCTGACACAATTTTGGGAGTTAACTTAAAATTGTTGCTTTTCTGTCTGGAACCATGTCTAGCATTTTCACAAACTTATTGGAAGCCAAATAGTTTATCCAAATATTTTTTGTTTTGAAACACTTACATGTGTCAAAAAAAGAAAAAAAAAAAGACAGCTTAGACTGGTCACAAAATACCAAAGAACTGTCTGGGAAAGGACCAACCAAGCTGCTCACACAGACAAGCCAAAGATCTTCAGACACAAATTGTTCTGGTCAGATGAGCTAAAATTTAGCTGATTGTTCTCTGTGGCTGGGAGCATGGAGTCAAACTGGATGGATGAAGAAATTAGCGTCTGCTGATGGTGGTTCTGGTTTAATACTCCATGTGGATTAAATGATGAACCCAGCTAGATTATCAAAACTGGTTGCAAATGCTTTGAAGACTGCTGAACTTCCAGTAGGACAGTGATCCCAAACAAATCTAGACTGGGTTTGGATTCAATAAAAAAAAACAAAAAAAAAACTGAGTGCTGACCCTTGACCTCGAGGCTGTGGTAGGGAGCATGTGTTGTCTTGTCATATTGACTTATGTGTTGCATCAGAGAAGAGTTGATATTTCCACACTGACTAACATTCGCGGGCAGGTAGGAGTTAGTAAATGTGGGGAAATCCTTTAACAAGACAGTAATAGAAGGATGCAGCAGCCATGATGTTGGAATTAGAATCTTAGTAATGAGAATTTAAAACTGAAATCATAAAGTGTCTGACTGTCAGCATGGAGTGAGGATTTAAATCAGATCCTTCAGCAGCTCGGATAAAGAGCCAGTTTCCATCCATTAGCTGGAAGTGAGCTGTCTGATTTGGCAGCTGAGGGAGGAAGATAACCTGACATAAACTGACAAACACTGAAATTCAGAAGCTTTTTCATGCCCTGTGAAATGATGCAAAGGTTTAGTTAAAGATGGGGGGGTTAAGGCACATTATTTAGAATGAGCTGAACCAGTGAAAAGAGATGTTTAGGTAAATAAACAATTTATTCTGCAGAGATTTTCAAACTGTTTCAGTCCATCTTGCATTCTGGACCTGAAGAAAGAAGCCAGATGTTCACCAAGTTTTGAGTTTGCTGTTGGTTTGAAAAAAAAAGTCTTTCCTGACATGATTTACAAAGCAAAGGTGGATTTCTTGTTGCTTTCTTTCCTCTTTGCAATGAGGTTATAGGTGTCAGACTGGTTCCAACAAAACTACACATGCAAGTACACAGTATGTGAAGTTATGAATATGTTTGTGCAGAATATATCAGATAGAACACACATGTAGATTCTCCTTCACAAACACACACACCTTTATCTACAGCTCTCAGATGACCAGATAGTGAGCAAGGCTGCACCGCTGTGCATGCATAATAGATAAGACAGAATGGAAAGTGGATGTTGGGTGGGGGTTCGGGTCCAGGGATGTGCACTGGTGTGAGATGTAGAGGTTGGACGATAGGGATGAATGGAGAGATGACATCAGCTGGGGAGATATTCACAGTTTGGTAACTCTTGAGTAAGTATGCTGCAATTTCACAGTTTATTAAAAAAATATTTTAAGTGTTGGTTATTTTAAACTGAGAAGAAAAAATATTTTGTAATATTTTTCTAATATTTTGTTATAAGCATAAAGTATTAAGGCTATCTGCTCTGCTCAAGCAGAATGACTAACCTGCAGCCAGCTGATTAACTGCAGTCAATTGTCAATTTTCATTTTCTTTTAAATTCATCGATTTCTTTTCTTTTAATGCTTTGATGCTTTAAGTTTTTTGCAGAGCTGTAAGTGTCATCAAATAGCCAATGAGGCTTTTTTTTACCAAAGGAAAAGTGTGAAAATTTTCTTTAAGTTGTGTTTGCATTGAAATATGTGGGAAAAGTCAGAAAAATTCAGACACTTAAGAAAGTTCTATAAAGCGAAGGAATAAAATGAGGGATACTTTTTCCGCCGAATAACACCTACATCCATGTTGAAACTGATTTTGCTCCCAGCTACGCATGACCCAGTTAGTGGTCTTAAGATATATAAAGTTTATGGTTTAAAGTCTCTTTACACAAGACCTGGGTAATTTCTGAAGAGAGTTTTCTCTGACTCACTCTCTTACCTTTTCCATTGCGCTGCTGTCTAACATTTCAATTGATTCAAGAGAAAACCATCTGTTAGGAAATACATTGGACAATAAAGGAGTTAAAGATGTAACTTTTATTAAATGATGTAATTTTTTTAAGCACATGCCTGTAAAGCTTTAGATGTCTGCTCCACATTTTGCTGCAGTGTCTCATCATTTGTTAGTCTTTTAAAGCAAAGTATTCATAGATCATTTTCATTAGTTTATAAAACAGTCCAGATTTCCACTTCTTTTTAACACTGCTTCACATATGTATCGATGTTTATCGCATAGAAATGATTTTAGAAAGATAGTGTGTAATTTTTTGTAAACATTTTAATAAAAGCATTTAGAATATTTTTATGCATAACAGTTGGAAAAACAGTGAATTTTTTTTTTCAGACAAGGTCTTAAAACAACCTGAGTTATATCTGCTTACTTTAAAAATGGTCATCTGTTTATTTTCCCCTCCCAGATGACTCAGCAGACGTCCAGCATGGCTTTGGGTGGTGGAGGAATGGCAGCAGGCGCTCCTGCCACCAGTTGGTCCACATCGCCAGCACCAGCCTCGGGCCAGACCCTCAGCACTCAGCTGTGGAAATAGCAGGAAGTGATTGCAGAGGATATAGGGGGGTCCTACATGGGGGGGGGACAGTCTGCCTCCAGACAACCTGACTGATTTACTCTCCTGATGCACATCATTGCTTTAATGACATTAAGAATCAATGCCCTAAAAAAGGAAAAGAAAGCTTGGCAGCTGTGTGTTCCTCATTTTCAAAATGTCCCCCCTCTGATCTCTCTCCTTTTGTTGGTATCGTCTGGAAAAAAAACAACAAAAGAGAATAACAAGCAGGAAGCTGCTATGTCAACACTAACATAAGCCTTTATCGGTATAGAAATGTAGAGTTAGTGAATCGTGGTTAAGTACCTACAGTAGATATGGATATCTTGTTGGTCTATGCTACCCACCTGACCCTTTCCTCTAGCGTGTATATTAACCCATCCCTTATCTCCACTGACCCTCTCTGTAGAGTTAACAAAAGCACATAGCAGATACTTGTCTGACCAGTACTGTACCTCTACAAACACGATTGTTTTCTTTCATTCATCAGGGTAAATTAAAGATATAACTTTGCAAACACTGCGACAGATTTGAAGAATTATCTCAATAAAAAAAGCCTCTAAAATATTGAAGGGAAGCAGTTTTAGTTTGAAGGAAACTGCTTAATTAAACATTTCAGCACATAGTAAAAAAAAAAAACAGAATTGGGAAATATTAACAGTTTGGCTCATAAAAATGATGTTTCATTTTTACGTTAACGACTGCCAGAAAAACCATTTTACATATATACCTATGAGCTTTATTGATCGCATACAAATGGTAGAACAGAACTCACTTAGATCTGCTTGATATAAAAGAGAAATTCTTGACCACAATGAGCAAAGAAACAGCTAAGATCTGCTAATTAATAACTGCTTAATTAACTGACCATCAGTGTGACCATATGCATTGTCAGGGAGAAAGTGTCTTCAGAAGATCTATTGTTGCCACCACTTAATCTCCGACCGGTTGTAAGATATTTTTACACAATCCACAGGGAAAAATCTTTTAAAAGTAGTAGAAATTAAAATGAAAGCTGATTATTTATCCAGATGTGTAGAGCGAAGATTCACCTTAAAACCAGACTGTGCAGAGCTGAAACCAAGAGGAGCGTCCCAGTCTTTGTTGGCATTGCATAGAATTTGATATGTTTAAATTCTAGGTAATAGCAGGCAAAAAAGACAGCTAGATTGGAAAGGATTAAAAGGGCGGAACAGATTACAAATTTCCACCTTAATTAACTATATCAGCCCCTCTCAGATCACCCTCTACTTCTATAACCTAAGAATACTCTTATTTGAAGTCAATCCATTAAGATTATGCGTCAGCTCCGCCTCAGGACAATCCTGTAAACTATAAGAGCAGATATGGCATTATAGGATGAGTGTGACATCATGACGTTTAAATCAAAGATGGCAGTGAAGTCGGTAGCAAGAGCAAACTAACTGCCAATATCTTTGAAAAGAAATACTGCTAAAAACAAAATGATGCAGCAAATACCATGATGAGGTTGCTCTGCAAAACCCTCTCTTTGCATTTAAAGCAGTAAATGGATTTGAAAAACCTGGAGAAAAAACGTCCATTCATGCACAGCCCGTCGATGCTCAGGGAGGGGCTGCTTGTTTTAAACAACTTGGTGTTCTTTGGACATATGACAGCAAAGTACAGCTGTCCTGGGATCTGTTAACCCAGCTTCATGGTTGTGTTTTAAGCTGCCAAAAAAAAGAACCACTCTCAAGCACAGTGAGGAATTGGTGATGTTTGGGGCTTCTTTTGGAACCACAGAAGCGGGGAAACCTTCAGTCTTTGAGTCAGGGGTGTCAAACTGGTTCCAGAAAGGGCCATGTGGCTACAGGTTTTCCTTCCAACCAAGCAATAGTACACCAGACTTCATTCATCTCATCAAGGGAGTCCAATCTGAACATGATGACTTGATTAGATGAATGAAGTCTGGTGCTATTGTTTGGTTGGAAAGAAAACCTGCAGCCACACGGCTCTTTCTGGAACCAGTTTGACACCAGTGGTCTAGAGTCTCTGTCTAATGTCAGACCTCCTGAGAGTTGAAGTTTCTGCAAAATGGTTGGAAAGAATAAATCCAGGGGTACCGATGAGAAAACCTACACACCTCCATTAGCTGAATTGCTAATAGGCCATAGGCTGAAGCCTGTATCGTTCAGGTTCGCTCCACCTATTTAGGGACTACTAAATGACAACTACAATAAAATCCTAAGTGCATTTTGAGCCCATAACCAAAAGTTCTCCAATCGCTTTGCGCCAGTATTTTTACAGTAATTACTTAAAAGTGTAACTATATCGGTAGCCTGATCACACCGTTAATCTATGCTCGAATCAATCCGCCTAGCCGTTAGCCAATCAGAGCGCGTCCTTCAGGTACGCTCTTCCACTTCAGAAGCGGAAAGAGGAGTACAACAACAAACATGGCGGCCCCCATGGAGCAGAGCGTTCCCGTTGGATCAGACAGAAAACGCAAGAAAAATGTGGATTATATATGCATCACACACATATCATCGATGGACAAAGAACGGACACAGTTGTTCGTTGGAAGAAGCTGGTTGTATGTGCCCGTAAGTGGCTAGAAATTGACGGAATCGACCGCGCGTTGGCAGAGGCTGTATGTGTACACGATGAGTCCGCCAGAAATAACAATGACGATTCCACGTCAACCCTGGCTTGTTCAGAAGACTCTTTCTGGCTTCTTGGGGGGGAAAAAACTTGGTTTTCATCCAACTTGTTATAGGCGTTTCATCGATAAGAAACGAATTGCCAGTGCTGAAAAACTAGCAGAAAAACGGGGAGCATGTGATGGTGACAACAATGGTTCTGATTCTGATCACGAGTCTTCCACAACCACGTCCACGACAAGCCGGCCATACTCTGCATAACGGTTGAGATCCACGACTAAATCATTGAGGTCTGGCAATGTACTACCTGCTGTCTGTATAATTTGCAAGAGGGCTGACCGCTTTGTGAAGGAAGGACACAAGACAAAGAAAGATAAAATGGTCCAAGCAGAAACTATAAATGCTGGTGAGTAGATCATTTGCAGATTGCATCTTTGTTTGTGGCTTATAACCAAAAGCAAAAGTTATACATATGTTGATTTAAAAAAATGCATGTGTAATTGGTGCCAGCCCAAGCCTGCTCTTTTCATTGTGAAGTAAGCGTATGAAGGCTATGTGTAGGGCCTCAAAAATAATAAAAGGCATTATTATGAACGTGAAGTGATGATAGGCAATTAATTCATTTGTCAAATAATGGTTAGATTTTAAATTTGTCACCCAACTACCAGTTCAGTCTCGTAAAACAGAGAAAAAGTATTTGATATTATTTGTTGGCAGCTGGTTTATGATTGAACTTTTTTAACTCTCTCTTTGCTAGGGAGTTTGGTTAAAGCAACTGAACTGCAAACGGATGAATCCATCCTCAAGGTTGTAAGTGGAAAAGATGCTGCAAAGAATATACAAGATTTCTGGGGGCTACAACAAGTGATGAAAGGTAAATTTCAGATAATTCAAGTAGAATATTTGTGAAATACAAATACTTGAGAGTGAACCATATATTGATGGTAGGGTTACATTCTGGGGTTAAACATTTTTGAAAGTTGATTATTCTTACAAATGAAGCCCAGTTTATAGAGAAATTATATTGTAGTAAAAAATGTAGAATACACATTTGGATGCAGTTTTAAATAAAACATTTTAACCATAAATTTGTATGAAATGAGATATTCTATCATTGTTAATTTTAAGATTGAGTAAGCATTTTAACTCATCTGTATTTTGAATTGTTTCACACAGGATGCCAGAAGCCTGGGAGTATGCCACTGTGTACACAGAATGAATTTTGTGAATTTGGGCACAGTTGATTAAAAAACAAGAAATCTTCAGGATGAAAAAGCTCTCCTCCCTGTTCCAGAAAATGATACGAGAACACCATGGTCAAGGAAGTGACAGGTAATTATGATTCATTAATAGATTTTGATATTATTCACATCAGGGCTGCACAATGGTGCAGCAAGAAGGTCCTGTGTTCAAATCCAACCCTGGGTCTTTCTGCATGGAGTTTGCATGTTCTCCCTGAGCATGTGGGGGTTCTCTCCGGGTACTCCAGCTTCCTCCCACAGTCCAAAAACATGACTGTTAGGCTAATTGGCTTCTCTAAATTGTCCTTAGGTGTGAATGGTTGTTTGTCCTGTATGCCTCTGTGCTGCACTGCGACAGACTGGCGACCTGTCAGGGTGTACCCCTAGCCTGGGTGCCATTCCGAACTTAGTCCCGCCCACAAAGTTTGAGTTCGGGGAAGTTCGGTCTGGCTCTGCTCCATAGTAGCGCGAGTATTAAAGCCCACTGTCAGGCGATCCAATCAAATTGTCAGGGCGGGCTTTATACGATGATGGACAGATGATCAAGAGTAACGTTATCAACCACGTGACCAAAGCGCGCTTGGGTGACAACAATAATGGCTGCCGCTGGAGAGTTTGGGTGAGTAGATTCTGCTATTAGGTCTGTTCTAGAAGATATCGACAGCAAATTCATTTTAAAAGAGGAACAGAGAAACACGATCAAGGCTCATCTTCTTATTCTAGGAGTGAAACTGCACGCTTTGATTTTTGTGGACAACAACTATGCATCGCTTAACATACGTCACGCACTCCGTTGCTCTTATTGGTTGTAGATCTATCAGATTGAGTGCAGAGGCATTTTTTTTCCTGGTTCGTTCGAAACACGCCCCATAATCACAGCTCTATGGAGCAGCATCAGACTCATTCTGACTAGAATTGAGTAGGACTACGTCAGGCTAGTGTACCCCGCCTCTCGCCCAGTGAACGCTGGAGATAGGCACCAGAAACCCCCGCGACCCCATGAAGGATAAAGTGGGATGGATGGATTATTCACATCAGCATATATTTATTATTCCTTTTTCACAGATCAGATCTTCTGAAGAAAAGACTGAGGCAAGACTTTTCCCAACTAAATTTCTACAAGCCTCCGAGGAAAAACCTGAGTGAAATGGTATTTACACAAGCTACAGGACTTCTCAACAAGGGTTCATCAACTGAAACTGAGTCATCAGGATCGCAAGAGACTTTGTCGAGTGGTGGAGAGACAGTTCAGGAAAGTGGTACATATGCAGCACAATGAGGCTGTACCAGAACCATTTATAGTGCAGGTATAACTCTTAAACAAGCAGTTAAGAGTGCCCCTAACATCAGTGCCAATTGGCCTCCTACATCTGAGGATCTAAATATTTCCT